AATTTCCGAGAAGTAGGATTCTTTATTTATATATAGTCATCCCTCACCACTTCATGCTTCAACTTTTGTGCCTTCTCTCTGAAGCCTTGAAAGTTTAAGCGCAAAGTGCAGAGAGATGACTGTATATAACACATTGACAAAGACAACAGAGGGAAAGGGGAAAATGGAGATGGAGACTGCTTGGGGTGATGCTTTATTGGGTTGTACAACTGAACACTGTATGGTTTTGTGAACCAATGTCACCCCAATAAATTCAATAAATAAATAACACAATTTTTTGAAGTTTAAATTCAAGGGGCCACTTAGGAGATCTCAAACTATGTATATAGTCCATATATAAAAGAGAGAAAGGCACCAGGTAAGGTCATTGGCAGAATCCCAGCAACTTTGCTTTTTCTTGTTTTTGATTATAGACTCAAATGCTGTGGAATATTGCTAAAGCACAGCATACATGGTACATTTCCAACATTCTTTATTTGCTTTCTTGCTCACTTCCATTTCCCTACTTGACTCCCAATATGTTGTGAGAGTAATTTGGTGCCACTAAGTTTTTTGCCTGAAGCTTTGTGCAGGTAATAGCGTCCTTCCCCACCATCCTTTAATTCACTTGTACTAGGTTCATGCTTCTTCTGCGCTTGAAAGTATTTCCAATCTCTACTCCTGGGCACTCCTAACCTCTCTGTAGTTTGTCACCAGTGCCTTGATGAATCGTTAGCAATCATTCATTTGATCACTTGTTCAGTGCTTAATGAGCACCTATTATATGTAAGCGCCTGAGCTTTGGAAATACAAAGACAATTGACATGCTATTTGTTATTATTCTGCAGCCTCAACGATCTTATAGTCTCTGGTGGGAGCAAACAGGTAAAGAGACAAGAACAGGTCACTATGTTAAGTATGATGAAGTGAAATGTGGACAGAATATTACGGAAATAGAAGGGAGGGACTTACTCGGCAGATGAAAGGTTAATAACTATGGCACAGAGCAATGCTATCCGAGCCATGTCTGAGCATCTGCGAGAGGCTGCAAGGGCTTTCTCACTAAGCCAATAGCTTGTGTAGTGCAGGGCCTGAGGAGCTCAGAGGGTGGCAGGAGACTCAGCAGTGGCTCACACTGGCCAGAGTGCAGCACACAGGGGCAATGGGAGAAAATCAGGGACAAGGACTAGAGGAATCTGGTAAAAGTTATTTAGCAGCAAAATGCAGAGCAATTGAGCAGCCAAAAGAAAGACGATTGTAATTGACCATAAAACATTAAATAAAAAAAACCTCCTAAATCCATAGTAATAGCAAAAAGACAAGAAAAAAAAGCATATCCTTATTTGAGACCATTAGAAATGATTATTACACAAACTTCAGATGCTAACAATTGGTAATTAAAGGGAACAAGTTAAGCATGTATACTACTTTTTCAGAAGGAAGTATAGTTCATGGCCAGATGATGAGGGTGAGGTCTTTCTTATAAGAGAATAGCAGATAAAATATGTAAAAGAAATGCCAAGATTAGAAAATCACTATTTTTTTTTTCTTTATTGATCTTTAGAGAGAGAGGAAGGGAGAGAAACATCGATGAGAAAGAACATTGACTGGCCACCTCCTGCAAGGCCCCCCACTGGGGACTGGGCCCACAACATGGGTATGTGCCCTGACCAGGAATCAAACCGGCGACCTCTTGGTGCATGGGTCGATGCTCAACCACTGAACCACACTGGCCAGGCAGAAAATCACTATTTTGTAACCCACAGTAAAATAAATGATTTGGGAAAACACGAATGGCCGCTGAAATCTTAGGATAAAAAGTTTAAGGAAACAGGATATTCTCACAGTGACAAGGTACCATCAGAGATTACCTGCTAACTGGGAGAGAAAAGCGTATCTTTACAAAGGAGAGATCTATTGTTCACCATCTTAACTGAGAGATCAAACTAACAGTTTAAAAGTGGAACAAGCTGTCACTGTGCCTCCTGAAGTGAAGTGTGGTTCAAGTACACAGACTCACTTATGTGGTATTCTTGCCAAAAGCATTTCGCCTGAATCCTCAGTTTACAAGAAACACAGGAGACAGAGGAAAAGTTAAATTACACCAAGAAGCAATCAGACAAATCCAGAATATGGGACATCCTCCTCCTTTTTTTTTTTTAATCCCCACCCGAGGACATTTTTCTGTATTTTGTTCAGATAGAGTGGGAGGCAGAAAGAGAGAAACATCGACGTGAAAGGGACACATCAAGTAGTCACCACCTACATGACCCAACCAGGACCGGGGACAAACTGCAACCGAGGTATGTGCCCTTAGCAGGAACCGAACCCAGGTCTCTCCAGACCACAGGCCAATGCTCTAACCGCTGAGCCAAACCGGCCAGGGCCAGAATATGGGACATCCTATAAAATATTTGGCCTAACTTTTTCAGAAAGTCAATGGGGGGGGGGGGGTGGATTATTTTGTTTTAAAAATACTAAAATGATTAATCAAAGAATACATATGTATATATGCATAGCCCATGGACACAGACAATAATATGGTGAAGGCCTGGGGTGGAGCAAGGACTGGGTTGGGAGTAACAAAGGAGAGGGGGAAATGGGGGACCTCTGTATTACTGTCAACAATAAAAAATAATAAAAATAAAATCAAATAAAAAGACTAAAACTATAACCACCAAATGCAATGCCTGAATATTATTAGAACTTGATTTTAAAACTAATACTATAAGATCATCTTGCGAATAATGGGAAAATCTAAATATGGACTGGATACTAGATTACATTTGGGAACTATAATTTTTTTGCTTTCTTATACTGGTCTTATGATTATGTAGAAAAGTGTCCTTTTTAAATGAGATGCAGGCTGAGTATTTAGGGGTGAAGTGTCAATGAGTGATCTTCAAATGATTCAGCAATATACAGTCACCATACAGATAAAATAAATATGGCAAAATGTTAACATTCACAAAACTTAAATGGTAGATCAATGGATGAGCCCTGTACTCTGCTAACAACCTTTATGTTCATTGAAATTTTTCATAATAAATTTTGAAGGAAGGTCAAATAATAAAGGCCTGTTATAAGCTTCTTAGGATTTTGGATCTTATTTCTGAAGGATCTGAACTGATGATCGACATGGTCAAATTTACATTTTAGAAAGACTACTGATTTACTGCATTCTGGCAACCGGCATTTATTGAGCATCTACATAAAATATTGAGTGAACCCTGAGCTAGGTGCTGTGGGAGATAGGAAAATCAAAAAAAGGCACTGCCTGGCCAGAAAAGCATTTACTGTGTAATAGAGATGAGACACAAAACACTGAGTACAGGTAGAACTTTCTTGTTGGAAGAGGTGACTGTGAGCGCTGGGACAGGAGACATGTAGCTGTGCGGCGACTCCACTTATTTTGTGTTATGTGGTATTCCGTGACCATCACAGCCACACATCATACCAGAAAGGACCAATGTATAGGTTACCAAAATCCCCATCAAGTCTAGCCCCTTGAGCTCTCCTTATTTCTGGATAGCAAAAGCCCACTCCAATGAGAGAAGCTGAAACACGCCAGATTCCCTTGAAGTGAAGTGAGGGTGTGCCACATTTCTGGCCCAAGAGACCTGGCCCAGGTCTTCTACAACCCACCAAAGACTACTGGCAAAATTTTTTTCCTTGTTAAAGACAGAGACATGTGAAAAGATCCCCTTTCCCTCCTACCTGCCTGCCTTTAAGTATAGCTGGGTGAGGATGTGATACTTAGAGCTGATGTACACTAGGCCCACATTGCCCCCAGTACACAATACGGCACTGCAGAACAGGCACCCTAATTACACAAAACCTCCAACTCTTTCCACCGCTCCCAGACACACATAGAGATGGCAACCATCTACAGGTTAAGGAGAAAGACCTTCAGAAGAAACCACCCTTGAAGACACCTAGATCTCAGACTCCTAGCCTCCAAAACTAAGGAAATACATTTCTATTGTTAAGCCACCCAGCCTGTGGTACTTTATTATGAAAGCCCTAATACATATGTCCTTATGAAATAAATTTAGCCCACTTCACAAATTTATCAGCCTAGCCCTGAGGCATCGGAGTATTTAAATTCATTCTTTCATTCAACATTTGAGCACCTACTATGTCCTGAACACCACACATTTGTTGATTTAAGTACTTCATCATACAAACCAATTTTATTCTCATTTAAGAACCCACTTCCAATTTTTTTCCATTTTCTGCTGCACAGTTTTACATGGCATTTGGTTGTCTGATGTTGCTTCACCCGATTAAAGGAAAATGATCCTTGTTATGGATCTGTTATGAACAGCATCACAACCCTCTTTCTTAACTCTAGCTAACCATCAGAATCACCTGGATGTTTTAAAAATACCTATACCTGGTCCCTCCCAACTCCCAATTCTAATTTAGTTGGTATTTGTGTGGAACTTCGACAGTATATTTATTTAAGCTTCCCAGATAATTCTAATGTGCAATTAAAGTTGAGCAGTGTTATTCTAGTCTGAAAGGGCCTTGAAGGTCATCTTCTTTCCCACACAGGTCACAAACCATCAGCACTGGCATCATCTGGAAATTTGTTAGAAATGTAGAATCTCAGGTTTCAATCTAGACTACTGAATCAAAATTCAGTATTTTAATAGGATTTTAACAGTATTTCCCCACACAGTTGAGATGAACTCAAAATTTTTAAAAACACTTGAGTTCCACTAGAATCACCCAGAAAAATTATGGTAAACAAGGTTACATGGCTTCTTGCTAAAATCACAGAATCTCAATCTCTGGTAAAAGCATGGGAATCTAAATTTTATATATTGTTACATATCCAGTCACACAATGGCCTAAGGATTAGGAGTCACTCATCTAGGCCAATGTATACATCCCCTCAAGCACCCAGCCTCCAAGCCCTTTTGAAAATAAAAAGTGTAACAGAGATATAAGCTTTTATTTGTCCATCATGCATGCAAGTTTACAACTATTTATACTGTCTAGGAACAAAAAAGAATTGCATTACCAGGGTGTCAAATTATCAAGTAAGACAACCAGTTACTAATTACTTTTGGGAGATTATTTTCACAGAACACAGCAACAATTTCCAAATTATACTTCCAAGTCTGGAGTTATGAGACCAGGACAAGTTGGTATCAATTCTAACAGTTGAGACTTTTTTTAATCCTGAATACCTACAATTCTAAATCCCATCTCTGAAATCTCATTAGTTACCACTAAGAGCAAAAGGCAGATCTGATGCAATAATAGTGTACCCCACCACTAACCACCAAAAGAAAGTCCCAATCTCCCAAAAGTCACAGTTGAATTGGCACAGTGTCTTGGACTTCTGAAAAACAATACAGGCAGGAAGAGGGAGATACAGATGAAACCAGATTGGTCATAAATTAATAACTGATTCAGCTAGGTGATAAGTACATAGGATCCATGGACAATCCTCTTAACGTCTATGCATGTTTGAAAATGTCCATAATAAAGAGCAAAAAGTTTAAAAGAAATAAAAGGCATTCTTTTACAGCTCTATTTTCCCATTAGGCAAAATGAGGACAGTGGTAAGATTTTACTTAGAGGCAAAATAAGCAGCACATAACATTAATCTTCAACATACATAAGGCCACACCTAGAACAACAAAAAAGCATCCAAGTAGTATAGTTCTGTTTTTGTTTCTCTTATTTATAAAACACATTAATAATGAAATAGAAATTGAACAAAACTTTGGGCATATCCTCACCTAGACAAAATTTTGGACATACCCTCTCATTTAGTGTTTGTATCCTGTTACCCTGTATTTGCCAGTAACCCCTTTAATGCTCCCATTCCCACCCTTGGGAAGGTCCCTCCACATCCCCTCTGTCACTGAGAGACAGGTATATTCTCCCTGAGCTTTCTAAAGCCATTTCTATCTGCTTTTCTAGGCCCACTCTATACCAGACTCATTCCTGTACAATATTTTTGCTCCAACTCCCCTGCCTAGCACAATCTCTCTACAAGTCTGCGTCAAGGTCTCCACAGCCCTCTGAGAACTCAGAATGAAGTCTTTCATAAGAAAAGGGAACTTAGGGGGAGGGCAAGTAGAGATACAGGCCTACTTCTCCACCCTCAAGGATGAGAGGAAGAAAGAGAACACAGAGAAACCTAGGCATGGAGAGCCCAGCTCAGCTTTTACACCCAGTGGAAATGAGTCTGGGAGATCCAGAACAGACTCTGCCCACCCCTGTCCCCATACTCCCAGAATAGATCCTTGGGATTACCCCATACTAGAGACAAGCCTACTCCTATGGGTATTTGAAGGTAGAAGCAAAGAAAGAAAAGCAAGTAAGGAGATATGGAAGTATGAAATGAAGTAGACACAGGCTCACATATGAAAAATACCTTTTCCCTAGCAACCTCACTATAGCATTCTGGTCATGTGTGATAAAGGGATAAGAGGAGTTGAGAAAGGTACCTAGATTCTAAGAGTTTAGTCTCCAACCTTATTTGGATCCACAACATAATGCCAGTGAGCACATGTCCACACATACCAGCCCACCCATCAGTCTGACAGCCAGTAGCATTCCTGGAAGGCTGGGGAGAGCAGGTGTGTATCTCATGCACCGGCAGGAGGCCTGGGCCCATCACAGGCAGTTTTTGAGGTCCTTGTTGAACAGGAAGCTTGGAGGCAAGTGACACACAATGGTATAGAACACACGGCATACTGCTTCTCACCCTTAACCTCATCCATGCCCAGCAGTCAAGTGACAGTATGTTGCGTGTCTGGCAGGATATCATGGACTCTTGTCCAAAGCCAGAGATCCCATAGGTGGTGCCTTGGCTATCGACCCCAGAGCCATTGAACAATCAGTTCTGGCTGATGGCCAGTACCATGTGCACTAGCTTCATTTTCCAGTGGCAACAGAAAATTTTGCCATATGTAGCATGCATGGCCAGCATGCATACAAAGCACACTGAAGTCACCGGCCCTGAAGGAGTAAAGCTTAAGGATGCATTGGTCCTCTTGGAGAATGACTGTTGAATGTCCATTTTAAAGACAGGAGAGAAATGCCAGAGTCAGGAACAGAGTCCAGGCATGTAGATAAAGGCAGTATACATCTGAAGCATGTGTGCTTAACATATAAACAGTAGGAGTAAGATCACATAACCTGTGACACTAATGTAAAAAAACAAGGCCATAGGGAGGCAAAAGAACATGATCATAAATGCCATATTCTTGCAACTGAAATTCAAAGGGAAAAGAATGCACAGAGGCTAACATGAAGAGAAGGCAGACAGCCAAACACATGTGGTCCACCAGGAAGTAGTAGGCAGACTTGCGCAAGATTACTTGGATTTGTTTACTCCAGGCAGAGGGGTCTCCATTTGGGGCCTTGCTGGACCTTGCCTACCCTCCTTTCCTTTCTCTGCACGGGCCCCTTCACTCATAAGGTAGTACTGCAGGGGATTGGGCCACAGTTCCTCATTAATAATCTCGACAATCTTGTCAGACTCAATAGAGGTGTGGTTTGAAAACCATCCAAAGAAGCTAGTGCTGTTGTCTGGGCCCCCCTGGATTAGGGACTGGAGATCGTGCCCTGGGAGCCACTGTATTGGAGTAGAACGAGACACCACCTGGCCAGAAGGGCCACAGCCATATTCTTTGATGAGCACCTTATTTTGGAAATAGGGGTTGCGCCCGAAGTAGAACTTGATTTTGTAGCCCAATCTGGCGAGGCCAAGCTCTTCCACCTCCAAGCTGTTCAAGTAGCTGAGTACTTCTTTGTCTTGGCTGTTCAGAAAGGATGAGAGCTGGGGGTGGTTCTGAAAAGCTTGCCCCCAGAAGCCCGGAATATTCTGGATGAGGAGGTTCCTGCGCTCTAAGTGGTGCAGTCGCAACTGCCCAAACTTGCGGGAAAGCCGAAGGTAGGCCCTGTCCGCCTGGGCATTCATGGTCTCCAGCTTCAGCTGGACGGTCTCCAGCGTATCCATGCTGCCATCCGTGGCTGCGGGCCCTGACCCTGTGTCGGTCTCCACCTTCTTTTCCTCTACCACTGGGCCTGACGCGCACTCCCCAGTGCTCCCTTTCTTCGGCCTCCCACCAGCTGCGGCCTGAGGCCCCTTCCCCGCTGGGGCCTTCTTCCCAGCATGCCCGCGCAGATTTCGAACGCGGGGGGCATTTTTCGGCCTTCCCACAGTTCCCACAGTGCCTACGAAGACAGTGTCCGTCACCAGGCGCTCCGAGAGGGATGTGGCCTTCCCCAGGCCGAGCCTGGTCGCAGCCTGCCCTCGCTCGCCCGCCGCTCGGAGCGCGAGGCCACAGTCCAGCGGGAGCTGGCAGGCGGCCTCCTCCCCGGGCCCGCAGGGCGGGGCGGGCTCAGCGGTTTCCAGGCCACCCCAACCCGCGTCAGCCCGCACCTGTGCTGCCGGGGCTTCCTCCCCGAGCCGCTGGCACTGTGGAGGGTCCGGGTCCTGCGGGACGTGGTCAGGAGCAGCGCGGACGCGGGCTTTGGCGCGGCCTTTGCCCCGGCTTTTGGCGCGGGAGGACTTTCTGCCCCGACTTCGGCCGCTCATGGTGGTAGCTGACGAGACTTCAGAGCCACGCTCCAACCTTGTTGCCTCAGGCGCCTGCTCTCGGTCCCAAGCGGTGGGCCTCTCCATGGCAACCGCGGACGTCAGGACGGTACGACTGCACCGTCGCGCGAGGACCGGCTGCGCCCGGTGATTGGCTCCACCACCGCAGCTGCGCAGGAGCCCACCCCCCTCGCCGACGCCCCTACCCCCATCCCACCCTAACTCACTCCGCCTTAGAACAGGCGGCGTTTCCTTTTAAGTTCCGTTTGGTCGCGGGGTCTCAAATATGTATAATTCCTCATGTTCTGGGCACGCTGAAGGCAGCGCAGCCACCACGTCTGTCCCATTATCTAGTTTCTAAACTAAACACCTTAAGTTCCTTCGATTCTTTCCTGGGACATCTGTTATGATGAAACTGCTGTTGGCCTCTGTGTCTCATCTTTAAAGCCCCCAGGCATGTAAAGGTGAGTTCCTACCATAATGCCAGGCCACAAAGCGATTTGATATGTGGTGGGATGTTAATAGCAATGATAGAAATAATAGCAACTAGTATTTTGTGACTATCATGAATTAGGCACTTTACTAAGTGCTTTAGATGCATTTTATCAGTTTATGAGGGAGGTATTGTGGTCATTCTCATTTTCCAGATGAGAAAACTGTGGCTTGGGGACCCCAAGGAACATTCCTGGGATTACACAGTAAGGGACGAAGCCCAGTTCAAACCCAAGCCTATCTGACTCAGAACCTATGCTGTATATTCACAGGTCCTTCCCGGCCAGCTCAACTGTCCCGGACCTTGAGTGATAGCCCAGCTCTGTAAACTGGGCCCAAGGCAGCTAGAGGACTCGGGGTGATGCCCCCAGGCAGAAGAGGGGCTCTGCTGATGCCTGTTAAACAGGCAAAGCTGGCCTTCCATGATTGTCCCAGACCATAATAAGCAGTTCTGTCCTTGATCTCATGGGGAATTCATTAACCGTAATATTCATTTGGCAACTAGACGTGCAGTTTTGTGCCAGTCCTTGTACAGAATTGCCTCTGAAATTCAATAACCACAGCCTGAAACTCTCTGTAAATGTCAGAAAATATTTTTTAAATAAACTGAAGCAGTCACATCCTTCTGTAAACTGAACAAATTGATAGGTTGGCCCACTTCTCAGGGCACTCACAGCTCGACTAACCCCTGTTGTCAAGAGCCTTAATCCAGCACCAGCATCTGCGTCATTTAACACTCATCCAGGGCTAAGCCTCTATGAGATTAACATAGGCTGGACCACTGCAAAACGATGTTTATTGTACAATCTGCCTTGAGCCTTTTTTCGTCATGTCAAAAGATAAGATTCAAGTAAATAAATATAAGATTAGCACCTTATATAAATACCCTTCCCTGGTCCAGGTCACCCAGCTCCCATGGTTTCTATATTTAAGAGACTGGTCTGTGCTGCAGAAGTGAACTGTTTGTTTTCTTCTAAAGTATTAATATTTAACTTTATATGTGGCTATAGCTTGGGTTCCAAATTAGATAGTAAACTATGTAAGAGTAGAGACTGTCTCTTTTTATTTCTCAAAGTATCTGGCACAGGCCTGTACATTTTAGTAATTATAATGAAAGTTCATATTTATTTTGTACTTTGTACAGTGCCATCTTCTAATTCACTTAATCCCCACAACCACTGCATGGGGGTGCAATTAAGATTATGTCATTGCTGTACAAAAAGGTCAGTACCTTGCCCAAGGATGCACAGCTAATAAATGGTTTTAGCCCAGGCAATTCTCCTCAAGCACCCATACTCTTACCCACTACTCATGATGTAAAACTATTGTTTGAGAGATTGAAATATCAAACACTCTCTAGCGGGTAAAAATACCTTTCAATTTTCAGAAATTATATATATATATAGTTATACATACACCTGCATACACATACACATTCATATACATATAAATACATACATGCATCAGTTAGTCGTGACTCATTTTTCTATGGGTGACACATCTGCTATGGTAATACTCAGCATAAGTGAGTTTAGTTTCAACAGTTGAACAATTTGGGAATAAAGCATCTATCTCCATTTGCACTGCATTTATCAAGTATTTTGTGACTAGTGTGAGAAAAATACAAGTTTACTATCATAAACTCAGAAATCTGGGAGTGTTCTGACCTTTTCCCAGTAATTAGGAGCTTAACTCCTAAGCATTTCATTGATTCTTTTTTTTTTTTTTTATCCTCACCCAAGGACATTTTTTGATATTTTGTTCAGATGGAGTGGGAGGGAAAGAGAGAAATATCAACGTGAAAGGGACACATCGAGTGGTTGCCACCTACATGACCCAACCAGGGCCGGGACAAACTGCAACCAAGGTATATGCCCTTAGCGGGAACCGAACCCACGTCTCTCCAGACCGCAGGCCAACGCTCTAACCACTGAGCCAAACCGGCCAGGGCTCATTGATTCTTTTATTTTCTTTATTTTTTATTTTTTTATTTTTTAATCTTCACCCAAGGATGTCTTTATTGATTTCTAGAGGGAGAAAATGATGTGTGTTTGTGGGGGAGGGAGTGAGAGAGGAAGAAAGAAAGAAAGAGAAATATTGATCAGTTGCCTCCCATACACACCCCAACCTGGGATCGAACTCCCAACCTAGGAGTGCCCTGACCAGAAATTGAACTCACAACTTTTTGGTGTACAGGCCCATTCTCCAACCAAATGAGCAACTCAGCCAGGGCTAATTGATTCTTTTTTATATGTGATACTTCATCATTAGCAAATACTTATTAAATACTCATAAAAAACACCTTTCAAAATATTAGGATAACTAGTCTTTACTTTCGTTCTCTGAAAATTGTACTTCCTCCATTCTTTTTAAGGTCTGTTTTTCTCAAATCATAGAAATTAATAAACTGGGGAAAATACATTACAGTTATCCAATCTATTCCCCAGTCAAGAGAACAATATTCCCCCCGTTTCCCTGGTAGAGCTTTAAGATCCCAGACTTGACATTTTAAGCCTCAGGGCATTTATCTTTTCCCAGAAAGATAGTTCAGTCTATTATATGGCAGTGAATATTGCTTACTGTATGGAATTTTGCCAACAAACCCTCCCAGGTTATGGAAGATCATGGAAAAGAAAGGGGTTTCATAGGGAATATTTTCTTTTATATATATATATATATATATATATATATATATATATATATATATTCTTTTTTCTTTATTGATTTTAGAGAGAGGGGAAGGGTGAGAGAGATAGAAACATCAATGAGAGAGAACATCAATTGGCTGCCTCCTGCATGCCCCCCACTGGGGATCGGGCCCACAACCTGGGCATGTGCCCTGACCCAGAATCGAGTGGGTGACCTCTTGGTGCATGGGTCGACGCTCAACCAGTGAGCTGCACCAGCTGCGCTCATAGGGAATATTTTCAAAGCCAAGGAGGAAGAGAAAAATCTGCCTCTTGTGGTAAATTTCAAAAACTATTTAAACTTAACATTTTGAGAAATGTGCCTAGCTTCTCTCCATTTCCCCCCAAAAGGGCAAATTTTTACAGTAGACCACCTAAGTCATTTGGTTCATACCATATAAGTAGCCGCAAGATATTTTAAAATATTAACAGATGTATTCTTCCTTCCTAGCATTTCCTTTTTACCCTACAACATTTTCACTATTAGATTTTTAGCCTGAGGCTTTTGTCATAAAGAAGGGAATATACCAATGAGCCCAGCAGAATTCCCCAAGTGAATTTCACTTCTTTGAATTTCAAAATAGTCTGTTGAGAGGAGAAGATAGAATAGCATTGAAAGAGAAAAAAAATTTAGCTCTTCAAAGGCAAATTCTGGAGCACTAAGATCATGGGGGACTGACTGGCTGCATTCGTGGACACAGTGGGAGTAGAGGCAGATTCCAAAGGCAAAGCAGGCTCAGCTAAGCCTCAGCACAGGCCAGTGTAGACAGAAAACAAGATTCACACCAGACCCTTCTCCATCAATGACAGGATGGAAAACTCTTAGCAACAGGCTGGTGAATTTCATTCTGTTCCCTGCTACCAAGAGCATACAGAATTTCCTGAGAGCCATGCCCTGCTCTCACATTCCTTCATCTTTTATTCTGTCTCCCCTTAACTTTCTTTGCTTCTGTCACACATTGATATGTTTATAGAAACCATTCCAGTTGCTTTTAAAATTATTTTTCCTGTGTTAAGTCCTCCCCCATTCACAGAGACTAAGCTGAGTCCCTGTAGGATTAAGCTGTGCCTTCCTCTCAAAGTGACTCTGTACCTCAGTTTCGACATAGTGTCAAAGGTGGCTCTTTGGATCGGGGTTCAGGTACAGGATGAGGTAGGTGCTATAAGTGAATGAAGCAGGCCCAGTGCACATCCCTAGAAAATTAAAGAGGGGGTCAGGTCCCATCTCAGGCTGGCAGTTGCCACTTAACACCAGCCAATTGTAGCCATGGAGAAATCTGCATTTTTATGTGAAATTTCTCACTGTTAAAATCCTGTGGGAGCCAAACAACTCAATTCTGTTTATGGGCTTCACTTTGCAACCCCTGTTCCACACCATTGTTCTTTTTTTTTTTTTCCCTCTGTAATATTAGAAAAAAAATTGTTTTAATATAATTGACAGTTATTTTATTTTTTAATATATCTTTATTTTAACTAAGTTTTTAAGTGAAATCATGAATGGATGTCTGAAAATTATTTTAATTCCTCCAAAGAAGAGAGATCTTTATGGTTGTCACCCAAGAGAAGCCTTCAGCCCGGCCGGTGTGGCTCAGTGGTTGAGCATCACCCATGCATCATGAGGTCGCTGTTTCAGTTCCCCATCAGGGCACATGCCCAGGTTGTGGGCCCAATCCCCAGTGGGAGGCATGCAGGAGGTAGCCAATCAATGTTCTCTCTCATCGATGTTTCTATCTCTTTCTCCCTCTCCCTTCCTCTCTCTCTAACATCAATAATAAAGAAAAAAAAGAAATCTAAAAAAAAAAAAGAGAAGCCTTCCAAAATGAAGAGTAGTCATATGACTCAAGGTAGGGCTCTACCTGGTGTTAAGGTAGGTGAGGCTTTGATGGCAACTAGAAGACAGCTGTCACTCAAGATGGGCACAAGTAAAGGATGATTT